CATCCATCCATCCATCCATCCATCCATCCATCCATCCATCCATCCATCCATCCATCCATCCATCCATCCATCCCAAAAGGTTTGCCAGCTGGACAGACAAACTTTTTTATTTGTCTGCTCACCTGCTGCGTGCTGACGTTTGTGACATAGTTCCAGATGACTGTGTTAGTGCTCAGGTCACTGGCTGGATCTGGGTTGTAGGAGGCCTTCAACACCACCTTCTGTCCCTCATTAGTACTTAGACTGATTACCTTTGTTTGGGCCCAAATGCCTGGATGAGGAACATACATGAGGAGACAAACATCATGTTAGGTTTTCATGATGTTTTACAATGTCACTTTTTCTGTATCTATTTCACACAAACAGATGCTTTCTACTTTCATAGTTCTACAGTAAATAAATTGTGCACAGTTAAATCACAGTCCAGCAGCAGCAGCCGGGGCATGCAACAGTAAAAGAAACTGAGTAATGGCAGCACTGAGCTGCTGGTTGGTGTCATTGCTGTTTGTGTCTATATCCCTCCCAGATTTAACCAGTGACATCATCCACTCCACTGTCTACGCTGCAGCACACCAGCAGCCTTTGTACGGCACCATGATCAGGTGTGTTCGGTCATCGTTACCTTTATTTAACCAGATAAAACTTCACTGAGATCTCTTAGAAGGATGACCTGGTCAAAAGTCATAAAACAATCATTGGGAACAGTAAATATAAAGTTGTTTCAAGTTAAAGTGCAGGGGACAGTTAGATGTCAAATTTAACAGTGACTTAGAACAAAGTTCTAAAGAAAAAAACAATTAAAAGATAAGCAATTGTTAAAAAATTGTAATAGTTACACGTATAAAGTGCAAAGGTCATTCCCCCACTGATTCTGAATTCAGGATAAAACAAGAGTCTTAAAGAAATGAGGCATGTCTGTTTCAGATCAGCCTGAAGAGGAGCAGGCAGCAACGTTCAATAATCTTTCCCTTCATTTCTGATCCAATGAATTGATCGATGGTCAACATTGTTAAAGTGTAGTTAGTTGTTGAGTTAGTTTGTAGAAGAGCGCACAAATAAGAGGAGGAGGAAACATTTCAACCACCTGTATTCACCATCTCACTCTTTAGGTCACTATCCAGAGTTCATAACCATAGGTGAGGGTAGGAACGTAGACTAAACCCTGAGATACTTGAACTCCTCCACTTGAGGCAGAACCTTACCCTCGACCTGAAGAGAACAATCCACCCTTTTCTGACTGAGGACCACAATCTCAAATCTGGAGGTGCTGATTCTCATCCCAGCTGCTTCACACTCGGCTGAGAACGGCTCCCATGAGAGCTGAAGATCACAACATGATGACGCCAACAAGACCACATCATCTGCAAAGAGCAGAGATGGAATTCTGAGGCCACCGAACTGGACTCCCTTCACCCCCTGGCTGCACCGAGAAATTCTGTCCATAAAAGTTATGAACAGAATTAGTGACAACAAGCAGCCCTGGAGGAGTCCAACTCCCACCCTGAAGGGGTCCGACTGACTACTGGCAATGCAAACCAAACTCTCGCACTGCTGATCAAGAAAGCTCATCAGAGACTCTACTTCCTCAGACGGCTGAGGCGAGCTGGTCTGGGAAGCTCAGTCCTCACCTCCTTCTACAGGTGTGCAGTGGAGAGCATCCTGTGCTCCAGCATCAATGTGTGGCATGGAGGCTGCACAGCTGCAGAAAGAAAAGCTTTGCAGAGAGTGGTGAAGGCTGCACAGAAATCTGTTGGAATCAGTCTCCCCACCATCACAGACATCTACACCTTCAGATGCAGGAAGAGGGCCACCTGCATCATGAAGGACCCCACCCACCCAGCACACTCACTTTTTGCCCCACTCCCCTCAGGAAGGAGGTTAAGGAGCATTAAGTGTAGAACCACTAGACTGAGGAACAGCTTCTACCCTGAGGCTGTTAGACTCATGAATCTCTAACTAGAATAATCACTGTGAAAAACCATATCATGTTGCTGCTGATCTGTTTTAATGTTGATGTGTTCATGCGTGCACATCTGCTCACAGACTCATGTTCATGTTTGTGCTGATGTTCAATGTTTTATGTTATGAGTGCTTAGTGTATATTTAGTTGATGTTTTTCTTAGTTCATATCTTAGATGTCATTACTGTTTTTCTTATACATTTTATTGTTGGATGTAACTGGGACCCTGCGTACATAATTTCGCTCCACCACATGTACCACATGAGGTGCGAATGACAATAAAGAAACTCTCTCTCTCTCTATAGGGACCGAACAGCCGATAACAACGGGCCTCAAATCCCATACTCATGGAGCACCTCTCACAGTGTACCCCAAGGAACACGATTGAATGCCGTCTCCAAGTCCACAAAATACATTTAGACTGGATGGGAAAACTCCCATGACCCCTCGAGGACTCTAGTGAGGGTAAAGAGCTGGTCCAGTGTTCCACGGCCAGGACGGAACCTGCATTGTTCCTCCTGGATCTGAGGTTCGACAAATGATCTGACACTTCTCCAGTTCACTTCTCCATTACCCCTGAATAGACCTTACCAGGGAGGCTGAGGAGAGTGATGCCCCTATAATTGATTCACTTCAGTTTATTTATAAAGCTCCAAGTCACAACAGAAGTCATCTCAGGAAACAGAAACATTCACATATATACTTGAAAATTATTATGATTGAAATAATTGTTTGAAAAAAGGGGCAGATATAAGATTTTTTCTTCTTTCTGCTGCCTTTCATTTTAAATTTTTTGTATCTTTTTTTATATTGTTATGGAATTGTTTTGTACTTTTTTTAAATGAATAAACTTTATACCATACCATACCATACCATACATATATATAAAATGAGTTAATACCGTTATTTATGTAAGGAGACAACTCACTTCATCACAATCAATGAGTTTATTTGTAGTGGACTAGGCCCATGTCAAAAACTAAGTCTAAGGTCAAAAATCTTGACCTTAAGAACCTTGTGGGACAGGAACTGTCATTTCATTGATTTGAATCCAGAAATACAGGTTCACCCATCCTGAGACTTTCTCTCTTGAAGATTCAAGTGAAAAGAACACTCTCTGTTTTATTATCATTACTATTTTACAAATGTTGATAATCGAAGTGTCTTAGTTCAAACCATTTTAGATGTTGCAGTGAACTAATCAATTTTATTAACTGTGTAATGATTTTTTCTCACGCAAAAGTTAGAACTCATGTCAAAGCTGTTACAGAGTAATTATGCCTTTTCTGATTTCTGCTTTTGAATGAGCAAGTGTAAGTTGGTCCAAGGTTGGAGTCAAACGCAAAACAAGTTGTTGGCATGTTTTTAGAATCCTCTCAGACATAAATATAGAGGTTTTTGGCACCTGTTTCTGAAACGCGCCAAAACAAAACTCTCTCTGTCTGTGAGAACATTTCTGATCTTTTCATAACAATTCTTGCTGTCTTCTAACCTCCTACGTCACAAAACACACCCCGTCTGGTCGGTTCTGACCAATGGTAATACTCCCAAAAGTGAACCGGGAAACAGCTCTTTAAAATGTCAGTACTTCCTGGTTTACTCAGTTTTCTGTTCAGTTCTAGTTCTGGTTCTGGTTCTGCTCGAGATGCTGTTTCTGCACAGTTCTGTTCTGAGAGTTCAGTTCTGTTGAA